TCGAGCTTATTCGATGATTAAATGCATTATGCTGATTTCATTATATTTACAAATTACTATTTTGTCTGAATTTTTAGCAATTATATTCAATGATGTTAATCCATTATATAAGATGAAACACTTTTATTTGTGCCTAGCTTCCTGCACCATAAACGTAACTCTGACTATATAGACAATGACAATATATTAATACATTGACTGGTCACTGGAGAGAATAGCCCAATCCAATGCTGCCTTGAACTTAATGTTAAATAAACTGTATTCGTCCATTTTACAGTGTAGTCGTTAACTTAAAAGATTTATACTAAATACCTCCAACTATCCGACAACAACGCATAACTGCTTTATTGTTCGTTAATCGGAAAAATAACTAATATATATCACAAGACAAGCACTTCTTCAGTATTTTTCTACATGGAACTGAAGCATATACATTAGACTGTCATCAAAGTAGTGAGACATTAAGACTTTGAAGCTTTGGGAGACACATAGAGAAATTATGAACACTTCACCATATTTTATTAGAATTTATACACGAATCACTTATATTTACAACAGAACACCGCAGAGTTTAGTGTGGTTGAAAGTTCTATGAACAATATGCTTTACAGAATCAAGTAGCTTATCCAATTCTACTCAACAGATTAGGTGACAGTGTGTTTTATGATCTTCTTGAACGGATTTAAGACATTATTGGGAATTTATTTGGATTACAATATTGTTCATCATTATCATAGTAAGTTTTATATTTTTTTCAATTTATACAGGTAAAAGTAAGCAGTGTGATACCCCAGTCCCTGCGACACGTTTTGAGCAATCAGGCTACTTGAAAAAACCCTCTTTTTATCAAAACTGTATGCTGAAAGACTGCAGACGACAATCCGAAAGATTTCACTTCTTTTGTGTTTAGACAACTCGAACAGGAAGTCTGTTGTTAGGTATACCTGTCTAGTGAATAATTCGTTAATGTCTTGGTTTTCAAACTACTATAGTAATATTCTCAGTAGTGTGTTTATTTATCTTTTAAAGAGAAATAAATCCAGGTTATTGACAAGTCATGAAAATAAACAGAATAGAATTCCAAAAAGAATCAGTAATATGTAAACGAATGTCATGGTACTCTTTCTCCAAAAAGACCTAGTGAATTCTGTCACTCAACACTCACAACATAACAAAACATTGTTTTCAACTAATTTATCGATCTATAATAGATTCTATTTTAAAACTTTTCTGTGTTAGTTATCAAGAAAAAATTGATTTCCATCCAATACATAAATAAAAAGCGAAACGTCATGAAAATGTAGAATTTTCTAAAGAAATAACTACTTTAATATTCACACAGTTCTCCTCGCTTCTTTTTTTCTTTCATTTTTAAACATACATGAATGCAAACTGAAAGAAAATTTCACGTATGTGATGTACAAGACAAAAAAACTGCTGTGTCTAAGATCATCTGGCAGTAGAGCATCCAGTCACAATAACACTGAGCAAAACACAGATACAAATGCCTACTTAGGTTCAAGCACACATAGACACACGTGTACACACACGCCTACATAGACATTTCAAATTTCTACTGTTATATAATGCTCTTGTCAAAATTACACCGCAGTAGCAGAGTATTAGAAGGCTAAAGAAATTAATAATTGTAAATAAGCATTCCAGTAATGCATACAATCAAAATAGTCATATACACATGCACATCAAAGTTGTCTGTCATCACAATCATCTGATCAATATATCGGTAATTATGTGTTTTCAACAATACATTTCTTCAACTAGATACACATCATGTTATGTATTATGATTTTAGTTGAATAACATATGCTTCATGCTTACAATTATTGTTATGCTGTTGCTTAAATGCATTAGTGTTGGCTTCTACCTACCTAAAATATTATTTTCTTTGTAGAGAGTTTGTAGAGCTTGACAATGATTATTGTTCGGGAAATTTTGGCAGGCTTATAGCTACAATAGAGCACGATTAAAGTGATCTGAAAGAGATATTCAGTGCAAAGAAATGCCTGCTTCAGATATGTATTTATGTTGTGTGTTCGGAAGCTATCGGTAGAAATACTCAAGCCTATGTTTTGTGTTTATCAGTTTAACTTAGCAGGTTATTTTCACAAGGCTGACAGAACAGATGACCTAAACTACCTAGCATTACATTTCACTTATTTCTACAGTTATTCCCCTCTTTGAATATTATTTTTCATAATATTTCTAGCCATTCAAGAGTATTCACCGAGGATGAGCGACATTTTTTCTTACATCCTATGATTTGAGTATAAAAGCTAAGCGCATACTGAAGAAAAAACAGCACCAGGATATTGTCAGTTAATAAATCAGCAGAGATATGCAGCGATTTCTTCACTATAGGCTACAAGAAAATAGATAAAGTCGTTTGACTTCCAGACGTACACGTGATAGTGCTGGCCGTAAATAAATACAACTAGAATGAAACACGGTTAAGAACTGTTTAAAAATTCCACCCAAGAAACATTCTGAAGAATTTTAAAATAATCAATAAATAAGGCAGTACACGCCTTCCTACATATTTGATTCTCCTACCTCAACTGATTATATTTAACTTTGCCTTATCATTCAGTTATTACTAAATTTTCTACTTACTTAAGAAAAATCTTGATTTCTTTATTTTTCTACCCTTAACATTGTTTTACGAGAACTTTCCTTCTGTAGAGCATATATTTTTGCAGCAGCTTAACATAACTTACCAATCGTAACCTGTTTCAAACAAACGTTTTACTTCGCTATAACAGTGTTATTTTATAAGTTGATGTGTAATAAATGTTACAGATTATACATAGCTGAAGATACTCTGAATGTATGGTGTTCTACTCCAATGTTTGAACTTGCTTACGTTCAAGCTCATAAGACGGAATATGTGTGAAAAATACTTTTGTGCAACAAACTGCATTTATATTGGATAATGAATAACTTATTAAGCATTATAAATAATGAGAAAAATCAATAAGGTATGTATGTACTGTTTGCACAAGCATGCCTTGTAGTTTAATATTTACTAACACTTTAACCGTTCAGTCCTAATAAAATTCATTTAGAATGATGATCGTTGTAGCACTTAATACTTCTGCAATTGAACTGCAATGTGAACCTTTTCAAATCAGTCATGGATTTGAATCAGTAAGTCGTATAGATATTTAGTATTGAATTAAACTAAAATCCAACAATGCATCCTACATACGGCGCCAATCTTCCCGAATCGCAGCATTTTAATAATTTGAGAAGCATTTATTCATGTTGGATGCCGTGAACAATTATACTTCTCATCCAACAGTTGTACAACAATGCTGCATGCCAAGTAATCCACAATGGGGAATTCACGAAATCCTTCGAAGTGAAGACGGGAGTAAGACAAGCTGGCTGCCTACTATCCTCAATGATTTTCCTGATTGCGGTAGACCGGATAATGCGACAGACAGCAGGCGACGAGGAAACAGGCATAAAATGGACTCACAAAAAACTTGGAGGATCAGGATTTCGCCGATGATATATGTCTGATTTCCCACAAACTGGAAGATATGCAAGTAAAAAGCAACAAGCTAGCAGAAGAAGCATCAAAGATAGGACTTCAGGTGAACATGAAGAAAACAGAGGTGACGAGGATTCCTGGCTAACAGCAACAACAATCAGCATAAATAGGAGAAATCTGAAAGAAGCAACCTCCTATACCCACCTACCTGGGAAGCATCGTTTCAACTACAGGCGGAACTGACGAGGATATGAAAGCGAGGATTGGGAAAGCAAAGCAAGCTTTCATTACTCTCAAGTCTGTGTGGAGATCTACAGCACTCGGCATGAAAAATAAGATCCAGATTTTCAACTACAATGTGAAGTCAGTGCTACTATGCGGATCAGAGACTTGGCGCGTCATGAAGAGCACCTCAAACAAACTACAGACCTTCAAAACAGCTGTCTTCGCTCATTACTCAAGATCAAATGGCAAGAAAAGATCAGCAACAGGGATCTCTGGCAATGAACGAACCAACCCAGCAGGAACCAATTGTGCAACAAATATGCAGAAAGAAATGGAGGTGAATTGGCCATACTCTGAGAAAACCATCAATTGAGTGAGATCACACGCCAGGCTCTCTCTCTCAAGTGGAATCCGAATGGGAAGTGGCAAGTTATTCGTCAGTGTGAGGATGACATGGAGGAGGTCATGCGAAGAGGAGATGAAAGCATTTGGGCAGACGTGGAGCCAGGTGAAAACGTTGGCGGAGAACCGAACGCAATGAAGAGGTGCGGCTGGAGCCCTATGTTCCTCTAGTAACTAAAAGAGATTATAATAATAATAATAATCATATTCTGATTTCTTAGTCAGATTTCATCACGAACTACGATTAGGCAGAAGTTTGAATTCACCGGCTACTGAGTCCAACCCCATAAGCTGAATAACAACATCCTCATCTCGCAATCTGTAGGTCTTGTCTTCGACATGCGCTGGTCAAACGTCCCACAATATGAAGAAAAGGCTGACCAGTACTCCTTGGCTTTCATCGGTCATCTAACTGACTTGGGTTTGTGATAAAAACCACCCAGAAATCAACCAAATCATTAAAAAATAATTAGAAATTTTCATTTTCCTTTATACCGGGATGAAAAAATTGACTCAGGATTATTCAACTTTTCAGACAGCCCAAATGTTTACTTACAATCTTTTAAGTAACACACAGCATTTACTTATTAAATCCTAAGCGCCCTAACGTAAGACTTTAATTTTTAAACCTATATTGATCCGTCAGAATTTTTTCAAGCGTGCACAGCGAAATGTTTAGAAAAATCTTATGATCATTTTCTCACTGATAATACGATTTATTTTAGTAATTCTACAGCTGTATCCATGCAGTTCACTGTCCAACTAAACGACCAAAAAGATGAAACACCAACCGTTAATCATAATTTAAATAATTATAAAATCCATTTCTGGTGTTGATCACTTTTGATGTGTCACTTACCGTGAATGCTCACTTTCACAGTAATGTCTTGGTCTTGAATTTCCCAATGTTCTCTCTAAATATTTCAAAACACGAAAAATATAACAAAGAAATTATCAATATGCGTGAAAGACATCAAAATAAGACAAGCTACTATCGAACTAAAACTGTTTCAAAAGTACAAAATGGTATGGTGTAGAAAATCTGAATTTTGTTCCTTATGATGAGTGCGAATTCCCAAACTCATTTCAGAGTGATGGGGATCTGCCTTGCCTTTCCTGCTCCGTCTTTGACAACTTCAACCATACTGCCTTTAGTTGAAACGATATTGCTTAGATAGGTGGAAGAAGTGATATCTTCAGAATTTCAACCGTTGTTAGTGACTAGTCCTTCTTGTTGCTAGTTGGTTATCTTTATCATCTCTATCTTCTCCATATTCACTTGAAGCCCTGTTCTTGCTGCTTCTTCTCACAGCCTGTTGGTTTTCACCTGTAAGTCTTCGAGAGTATCTGACACCAGACACTAGTTCGCGAAGGTCGCACCTTCTCGAGTCTTCTTATTGGTCAATCTAGGGTATTCCTGTTTTTCCGCTACCCACAGTCCGACGCACAATCCAGTCCACCACAATTAGGAATATCAACAGTCACAGTAGGCAGTATCGTCTTCCCATTGTCTCCACTTCAAAGGGTTAGTGGTTGGGTTTTCCGTTGTGAATCACTTGGCATGTGCAATTGTCATATAGCTGTCGAATGAGTTTGGTAAGATTTTGGGACACTCTGTTGTGTTGAATTTGTTTACAAACAACTTCATCGTCAACGATGTCGAAAGCCTCTTCATAGCTGATGAAGGCCAGGTAGAAATTTTGCTGCCATTCTTTGCTCTATTCGATAATGATGCAAAGAGTTGCAGTTCGGTCTGCACACGATTTGCTTCACTTAAATCCAAATTGTTCAGAGTGGAGTTCTGCCTGCAAAGTATCTTTTAGTCTTTGCAGGCTGACATAATCTAATATTTCGCTTCACATGATTAAGAGTACGATTCCACGCCAGTTCTTGCACAGACAAAATTCGCCTTTCTTTAGTAGTTTTACAAAGTAGCTTCTCTTCCATTCAGTGCTTATTTACCTTCCTCCAAAGCTTTCTGCAATAGTGCCATGAGCGTACCTACTGCGACATCTGTGCTTCTGAAGGAATTCCGTCAGTTTTCAGTAGCTTTATCGCATTCAAGACTTCTGCTTTTGTCGGTGAATTGGTGTCCACTGGCAGTTCCGTGGCTGTTGGCAGTATTTCTCGATGAGTTACAGTTGATGGTTGGTTCTGGAGTCTTTTGAAGTGGTCAACTCGTTGTTTTCTTTGATTCTGCTCTCGGTCATTAAGTTCCTTTCACTTTCTTTCATCATTGGTTTCATCTGTGCTGATCTCTTCCTCGATAGCGACCTGCTTATCTGATGTAACGTAAGAATCCTGGTTTTGATCGTTAATGGAGTCATGGGTGCGTACTACAGAAGAGTCGTAAACTAGAATGAAAAGCTGTCCAGTACTCCCTCGTTTTCAATGTCTCTCTAGCTGATATTGATCCATAGTCAAACTTGAAACTAATCAAACCTCTACAAACACCTGAAAAGATCTACTATACTGAACCTTTAACACTGCATATTTCTGCTATATATATATATATATAGATATATTAATATGAGTCCAATGTATTAATAATAACACTCACTATTATCCAGAGGCGATAATTCATTGATAGGACAAAATACACCACGTTTTGCTGCACACTGAAAGTATCTTATCCCATTTATACTTCCATCGTGCTTACCACAGTTTGAGTCCAACACAATACCTAGTAAAAGAAATAAGAGGAGAGGAAACCAAAACAGATAGATTCATCAACCATCAAGTCAACGATTTCAGAAAATCGGAGAATGTTACCAATAAACAATCTATTATACTTTAAAGTATTATTGGATTTCATAGCATGACGTATAAATGAATGATTAAACAAGTATGTGACACAAACACATTTGAAAATGTAATATTTAGACTAACAATATTGATCACACAAACAGAAAAACAAAAACAAAGCACAAACAATGGTCCTAATCACAACTTAAACACTATTGCTTTAACAAATAATCAATAAGCTTAGTTAAAAGTAAACGATAGAGTACGCCCCTATAAATATAAACCATTTTAATGTTCTGGTAGCTATTATCAACAAGTGTTTTTTTTCACTTAGGTAAAAGAAAGTTATCAAGGTGAAACTGTTGTACTCAGTATCACTTAAAGCCTATCAGGCAAAAGCCTTGAAACAGTATATTTTTGTTATTAAGATTAAATGAGATATCTGTATGAAACGAGAAGAACAAAACATGTGGCATGAAGCGAATTCAACTTCAATTCGTGTGCTGTAAATCTTCTTTTAACGCACCAAACAGAAACCTTGTGTACAATTTTTAAAAAAGAGTGATATGCCATTGTCAAATGAAAATAGTTTGTTCAGTGGTACAATCAACTTTAATATTTCTATATTTTCAAGTATTGGTATTGTAGGGATTTTGTTTGATTTAGTGGAGGATTTCACCATAAGCTGACATCAGTTAGAGAACCACTGGAAAACTTGGGAGTACTGGACAGCTGTTTCGTCAGTCTGGTTTGAGATTCTTCATCAGTACGCACCCACCATTAGGGTTCGAACCCAGGACCTTATGGTTACAAGGCTAGCGAGCTCGTAGACCATTAAGCCACTGGAACTAGATCCAATGGCCAATCAATTCTAACTTCTGCCAATTTCTAACATACCGCGACCAATTCGCAATGTCTTCTTCGATGAGTTACTGCCTCATCTTCTAAATGATGTCAGCTCATGATGAAATCCTCCATCAAATTTCTATATCTATACAACTGTGTATTCCGTAGACCAATATGATGCGCTTCATGACCTGATTACTCACTACACATAAAAGAACAAATTAAGTTTTTAAGTTGAGAAAGTATACCATGAATTCGATTCAGACAAAATAAAATAATTTAACATAATACTAATAAGGTGTGATTAAGAATCATGGTGGCAGGAAATTTAATATGAGGAAGGTTAAGATGAGACAGATACGATTAGAAAAGGGTTGGGTGAATGAATGGTAAAACAGTGAAGGATAGACTACGAAACAAGACTGTCATTAAATAAATGTAATAGTGAACAGTATTAGACAGATGAACAACGCTTAAAAAAAGTAAGAGGATGGAAAAAATCATAAGATGGTAAGTAAAGAAACTACAAATTACCAAAGTAATACAAGTTGGAGCACAAAATTCATCTGCATGCATAAATCAGGCTTCAGTCGTCTAATAGTAGCTATATCTGCATATCGTAGTAATCTACTATTATTGTGTGCATTTACTGCCCAGAAAGCTGTGTTGGAATTGATGAGGCAACTCGTATCAAGGAAATGTCTACCAATAGCACTGCTAGCTTTGTCTTGCACTTAATGACAATCTTTTTGGCACGTATTGAGAAACTCTTTTGCAAGGACCTTCCTAATTCGTTCGACGTACATGCTACTGCAAGTGTAAGTAAAGGAATAAATATAACTAAGGGTTCTCATATCCAGAATTGTTTCCATAAGCATTTACTTTGTGTTGGAGACTATAAATAACTTCTTGGTAGGATTCGTTATCACGATACATGCATTCAGTCAGTGATTATTTTGTGAACTCATTTCATCGCCTTTCAGTGGGTAACCTATTGAACATATTCTTCTTTGCGATAGTTATCTTTACCAATTTTTTATTATTCAGTTTAGAATATTTATTAATAAATTTTGTGGGATATTCGTTGTTGACCAAGTCTTTATAACATAATCCGATTGCCCGTGGAAATAAAGTTTTGACAAGGGTTCTTTCGTATGAAATAGGATAAAAGCTGTTTAACATCCCATACTCACATGTGAATTTTAATTTGTGTGAAGTAAACTGAATAGCTTGAATACTGTTAGAATTAGAGTATTTTTTTTACAATCTGTGAATACAGACGTGTTGCGTACAGTCAAGGTGAACGTCATTTTATCACGAAATTATTGTAGAGAGTTTCGTCTTAACAAGATGTTTTTTTTAATAGAATGATGTCTGCAAACACAGTTCTATCTATAATCGATAAGAGAGGTAAATCAATCGATGAGGTTGTTATCTTCCATTAATTGAAGTGATTGCCATACACGTCACCTATAACGACGAAATTTTTATCATGACATTTGATGTAAGCAAAGGTAGGAAGAACTAAGTCGAAGACAAACAGATTAAAACATGACTTAAATAATCTATCAGAGTATGAAGAGTTGGGTGTGAGATTTGTTAGAGATCGTCGGCTGCCTGTATAGGTAGGTTCCAAAGTAAACTGTATGGTTATAAATTTCACAATATAAATAATCAAATCGATAATGATGACACAGTTACATTTATATTTTATCTTAAACTGAAGTGTAAAATAATATTTTTCTTAATTAATTTTAATTTTTCCTTCTCTCGTGTCGCCCATTATGAAGATGCGGTCGGTCGGTCAGTTTTCGACATAGAACTTTGCACATATGTGCGGCAGTTCAAGTCGCCACACTCCATGTAGCACACAAAGCAAGAGAAGAAGGTAGGAGAAATGCATAATATAGACAGTAAACAGAGGTGTGAGACAAAAGAATAGTAATAGCGAAGAACAAAACAGTTTCATTGGAAATCATGAGTCACAAAGAGTGGATGCATCTGCGCCATTTAGAACGATTTTGAGCCATGTCACTAATTGTTTCCAGCCATTGGCTTTTACCGTCCCGAGGACTCCAACCAAAAAGTCTACACCTTCCTACGTGGCCCAGACTAACTGTTGTAGATTTCATTGACTGATGAAGCCATGTTTTGGTTTGACCGCCGCTAGCTAGCTCTTTTCCAGCCTGACCAATCCTATATCAGCTAACATTGCCCATTGTCGAGGAAGGCGATGACTAGGCATACGTAACCATCTCAGTCGAAGTAATTTCACAGCCTCATCGATTGATTTCCCCTCCTTACCTAGCACTCGACGCCTACCGTCAATATTGCTCACCTTATTAAACCACTTCCCACAGGAGATAAAACTCAGACACCTATGATAAAAGACAGCTAATCTTTTCATGTCTTCCACTCTCAATGGCCAGCTCTCACAGCCAGAAAGGAGGACGGAGCGGAATGATAAGCAGTACACCCGCCCTTCGGTCGATAGTCAGATATCACGTCTATGACAGAGATGGCGTAAACTGGCATATGCGAAACTAGCCCTCTGTATCCGTGCTGAGATTTCGTCAGATGGTACTTTCCAAGTAAGTGTAGCGGTCAACGTGCTCTACCACTTCACTTCCTATTTCTAATCTAGGGGTCGGTGTAGTCCAATCCTGTAACATCATCTTGCATTTGGCGGAAGCGAATCACATGCCAAACATTCGTAGATTACAGCTCAAGGTGTTCAGAAGACTCTGCATTTTGTCAGCGTCCTCGCCCAGAAGGACTATATCGTCTGCATATTCTAAGTCAACGAGATTAGTCCCTGGTAGCAAGTCAATCCCTGAGTCGCTGAGGTGAGTTAGGATTAAGTCCATCAGTACATCTATGATGAAATTGAATAGAAATGGGGATAATGGGCATCCTTGACGGACGCGACTAGTCGTCACCACTTCAGATGACAACTCGCCATAAGCCCTCACCTGGCTGTATGAGTACGAGTAGAGTGCCTTAATCAGTGCAATGTATTTTCTCGGCATTCCCTTTACAGCCAAGCATCGCCAGAGAGCCTCTTGGTCGACAGAATCAAACGTCACCTTTAGGTCAAGAAATATAATGAAGATGCATAACACATTACTTTTATTGCTTCATTTTTCTACCTGTTTTTGCATCGGTGGTTCAGCGGTAGAACGCTCGCCAATCACGCACATTGTCCAAGGTTCGATCCTCGGCCGATGCACTCCTAAACCTCGCTAAGCCGTTAGTAAATCCGGTAAAGAGGGGAGGTTGGGCGTGAGGCGAGCAACCCCACCTCATAAAAAAAGTAAAACTACTGCTACTGAAACTTCAAAGCTCTAGCTTGCGAAGCCCTATGTTCCACTGGGAACATAAAGGAATAAAATAAAATACTGAGAATTTTCTTCCTGTTTAATAGGTTAACATAAAGTATGACATCTTAAGCTTTTGTACATTGATGCATAATCATGTGTTCGTATTATTTATAACATAAAAAGTCTCAGGAGGTCAGAAATACTGACAATGATTTATAACAGATAAAGATATATTTGACTGGTTCTTTCTTTAAGATGTTAAACACCGCCTGTTTACATATGGGAATAAAATGAATGAAAGAGTCCCAAGATAGGACAAAACAGCTATCCAGTACTCCCAGGTTTTCCAATGGTTTTGTAACTGATTTCAGCTCATAATGAAATTCTCCAACCAATCAAACAAAATTCCCTACAAAAACCAATACTTGCATGAAAGTTATTTAACAGGCAAAATTGATTCCACAATAATTAAAAAGGAATTTCACTATGAGTTTGGGAGTTGACAAATCATCACTAATAAAAGAGCAACAACAGTACAGATACACATAAGTCATTAATAATTCGTATCAAAATGTTTTTCCACTGAGCAGCACAATAAGCTTATTTTTGAGAGTAAATATTGAGTCTGTACTCAGTAGCCTAAGTTTTCAAAAATAATTAACAAAATAACAGTAAACACTCCTGTTACTTTAGTCGCAGTTAAACAATCTTCATTTCTAATGTTCATACTTTCGATAGACCAATTTGAAATCAATGTCCAATGAACACTAACGGATTAGAATCAAAATACTGTGCTGAGATTCTTTAAATAACTGTGAAGAGATTAAATTACGGTTCCCAGAAAGTCAACCTTTTATTCAGATTTTAAGCATGACGTTAAGCAGAACGCTACACTAGATAATTAGTTCCACAGACTAATTCTACTAGCCTGAAAGTCAAGAATTTCGTGGAACTGCTTAACTGTATTGGCTTCATTTATTACAGAGTTCTTTCAATGGAATTAAAATAAAGTGTATATACTACAGATTTGTACACTAGCAATACAGCTGTGTTGCACACAGCTGTAAAAGACATTTAAACGTTTCACATAAACGACAGGTAAAGGTTTACGATAATCCACGCTTATGTTGACTTGAAGAAAAAATGAGATGACACTTGTAAAACATAGATAACACTCTTGAGAGAATTTAGTCAAAAATGCAGTCATTTTCTAACAAAATGTATTCCCATCAGTACAATGAAATACAACAAAGCATCTTTCTCCAGTTTAATTACCACAACTCAATTCATCCAGAACACTTCTTTAAAAGGTTACCATCCATTCACACTTGTTGGAGAGAAGAAGACAGTGATAATAAATCAGAATCTTTTGTAATTATTCTGTTTCTGCTTCTAATAAACATTAATTATCTCAGATACTGGTTATTTCTGAGAGTGAATCAAACACCAACAAATATATTTTCAATCATTCACTACTTTGAAATTGAAGAAATAAAATATAAAACCAGAATTCTAATTTTTGCCCTTAATTTCTTCAATGCCTAAAAAAATTGGTGAATAAAGCAGAAAAGAGTCACTTAGATACTGCTAAATTGTAAGTCACCGGAAGACAATACAAAAGGAAGCAAGAAGAAGGTTGGTTTGAAGTAATAAGGCATTTACCGACTAGATAACACCTTAATAAATTAAATATTCCCACAGAGTAATCAGAACAAGATTATTTTTATTTTTAGCAAACTTCCCATCTTTCCTACTTAGTTAATACCATCTAACTGAAGACTTTATGAAGAGATGTTAACTGGGTACCCTATCAGCTTCATTTAGGCCTAGTTTTACACTATGAATCTTGAATGCATGCAAATCAGGTGATACTTTTCCAAATATGGTAAATCGAATTCAGAATTATATTATTATGTAAGAAAATTTCATTTCAAATCTTCCTTCTCATAAATACTTAACAAACAAATAAGCTTAATTCAAAAATTACCGATAGAGATCAATGGGATATGAATGTATATATTTACTTAGCTGGAATTATATATACACTGAACATTCTGTTTAAACAGTAATTGATTTTTAATAAAGTGTGTATTTTGAGTTTTCTTTGTATTATGATTGATAAACTAGGAGACTTAATACGGATGATATGATTACCATAAAGCGTATTATCATCAACCATAACACAAATATTTCGAGATCAGAAAACGTTTACAATGTTGACGGAATTCCTTTTCGTAGCTGTACTATTACTACTTGAACATGTTAGCTTTTAGGGGTTTCTTTACTTACAGCACAGTGAAGTAGCACTGTGGTGGTGTGATACAGACAATGTGTGCCAACGGAATATTGTTCTCACATGTTCCCACAGTTCAATTAGGCATTCGCAACAGAATACTATGTATATTTGAACATTCTATTTCGTGTCGTTTGATGTAAACCAAAATCATACGCTCAGTGATTGGTTAACGAATATAAACTGTAGATATATAAACAGCTATTTGATTAATGAAAAATATGCTCAGGCTTCCATATCTTGCCTTCTGTTGTTACAGCACAATAGAAGCAAATTATTACATCTGAACAAATATTGTTTGAGTGAGTTGGTCATTTGCTTTAATCTCACACATTCTGCAGTTTTTTAGTAATATCAAGTTAAAAGTGTTTTACCTCATTGTACCAGAAATTACTGATACAAATTCTAATATTATAGAGTGTATTCTATCCATTCACATAGGCCGTATTATTACAGATAGCCATTGATATTGTTAAGGTACAATTCTACTATCTTTTACTTTTTGTACTTGTCAACTTGACCCATAACCTAAACATCAATCTCCAGCTCACTAATGGCTATTGGATGGATGTCCTAAAGCTGTACGGAGCAGTCGTGACCAGTAGGGTCAACCATATTAAGGTGAAGCGGATGCTCATGGAAGGAACTGGCTGAAGTGCTATACTACGAACTAACAGAAGTTGGAATTCACAGGTAACCCAATTCCAGCCCGAGTAGCTAATGGTCAACAAGCTTGATCTCTTAACCTAAAGATCCTGGGGTTGATCCCTGGTAGGATCGTGGATTTGTGCTACTGAGGAGTCCCGAACTAGGGTGAAACGGCTGTTTAGTGATCTCTGGTTTCCAATGCCCTCTAGCTAGTGTCGGTTCGTGACGAAATCAACATCGAATCTAAACCAAAGTCCTAAAGAAAACCGTGTAATCTAAACTTGACAATTCACTTATGTTTTAGTGGATGACTTTTTAAAAACTGGGAATAAGAGAATGATAAATATTATCATCATTATTGCTGCTACCATGAACAGCCTCAAAATAGAATCTGTTTGCTAAATAACGGAATTATTATTGTGCTTTTTTTCCAGCTTCTTTCATTCAAGCATCGATTGTAATACTAAACAAACCTAGTTTGAAAGTGTAGTGAATGATCCCAACAGCTTTACAATATAAAAGTCAGATGTTAATACTTTTGTTCTACAGATACTTAAATAATATGCACCACTGAGATTGATAGTCGACGGGATATTGTTTGTAAAACTAAGCAAGCTAAAACAAGTTGTACTCGGCTATGTTTAATGATTCGACAATTTAGTTTTTATTGATGGCTTACACTTGTACACAAATATTGTTTATTCCCATTTATTTGATTGTCTTCTATGGCAAGACATCAGCTGAGGATGTGCAAAGATGAATTAGCGATGAATAAAAGCTCTGTGTTTTATTTTCTTTTAAAACACCTATAATTCATTTCCTTTACAAGATCAAAACATAACAACTCACCATTTCCATCAACTCGAAATGTTTCAACAAAAACGGAAGATGCCTTAACCGAAAATCTAATTACACATGGTAATCAATAATAGGATTATTTACTCTACAGTGAACAAAGAAAGCTCATTGATCAATAGACAGTATGAGGACACTAATTTTGTTTTGTTTTAATTTTTGTTTATGAAACAATTATTAATTGCGACTTGACTTAGAGGGAACAAAGACAAACAATTTGCAAAGGGCATCTCTAGTAAGTCAATAAAGTGAATTTTCCAGGTATAAAATTATAACCCTGAATTCTCAAGGTGAAACTGACATTTGAATGAGCAGAAATGCAAGTTATACTTGTAAGCTGAAGTTTCATCGATTCAAATACTGTCAGATAGCCCTAAATAACCCTCTTGGTTTTGATTACTAAATAATGGCTAGTCAATAGTGAATTATTTAGCTTATATTCATAACTGCAAAATTTATTAAATATAGCTTATGTTCACATTGACTCTTTTGTTGATTTAATGCAATATGTGCTGGTATGCGCTAAACGAATACTTGGAACTAGTTACTCATACGGCACAAATCCTTACTACGATGTCAATAATACGATGGATAGCTCTACATCGTCTAGTAATGTGTTTCGTAATGGTTGGCAAAAAGTCCTTGACACAAATTTCTGTCCTATGGTTTCATTTTTTACTAACTATCAAGAAGCGTACCATATTGTTGACAAGTTTGAACAGCAAAGAAAAGCTAGAAGTCTCCCCTCGGCTACCTTAAAATTTCCAACGTTAAAAGTGGAGATAATCAGATTTATTCAAAGAAGTGGGTAGCAGCCTGTCAAAATGTACACCTGAAGAAATATATAACTAATGTAACAGTAACACTCTTCTACTTGACGTTAACTCGCTTTCGTCAAAAAGATACCATCATATATGCTTGGCTGTGTAATTTGAAGAGAAAGACGAGTCAGAATATATACTCGCAAAACACTCAACTTACCAACAAGATCTTCAGCAGCAAAGTGTGTAGGACCGATATAGGCAATTGTACCACGTTGTTTAGCCTTATTTAAATAAACTCTATCACCAATGGAGAAGTTTTTCAAATCAAGACAAGTGCTAGTGTCCGGTGATATTGAGTGATCTCCAGTTGACAAAGATGTAAGTTTTGACATAGAAGGAGGAGTTAATGCATCAGAACACAGATGACCATCCAATAAATTTGACACAAAACGAACTTTTGTAGTCATATTAAGTGAATCATTGTCTGTCATTGAAGTGCTTGGTTGGCTGATATGATTCAAGTGGGTTTTGTTCATTCCTCATAAATACACTTTTCCTAGGCAGCCTAGAAAATGAAAAGATGCGGAGACATTACAAGACAGAAAAGTCTACATTAGTTAGAAAAAAACTACCCCTCGTTAACTAGATCAACGAAACTAAGCGAAATAACTAAATCATTGATTTATCGTAATTGAGAAGAAACAATAAAATAATAAGACGATTCATTAGGCAATATAGGGTACCCAAAGAAGTGTTCAGTAGTCAAAGTGGTGGTGTAATCGACCTAATACACTGCAAAAATATAAACTATGTATTTGATTTACATAAGGATTACAGTTTCACTACTCAAACAAGTACTGGAGGAACAGATGGCGTGGTTCTGCTCTTAGTTGAATGCAGGATTCTACGATAAAAAACAGATTACTAAATAACAGAGAATTCTGGTGAATAACTGAACACACAAGATATACTAGAAATATATATACAATATCTTTTACATAAAAGTGACCGGAATACTACCTCCTTTCAATATTCTAAAAATACCAGAAAGCTACTTCTAATCAGATGGTATACAGATTTAGAAATACGTAAAATTAGGTCTGCCACTAACAAGGAACTCTGGCAGCAAACCAGACAAGGACCTATTTCCAAACAAATATACTGGATGAAATGGAGGTGGATTGAACGAACATTATGGAGACCTTCAAGTGACATCGCATGTCGGGTTCTTGATTGGAATCCGAATGGGAATTCACGAGTTAAGCGCCCGAGTGTGATATAAAGATAATGTAAAGGGGAAATGAAAGCTTGTACGCAACTGTGTAGCTATCCAAAAGTGACTGCAGAGGACTGAATACAATACAGACGTACTGATGAAGTCCAATGTTCCACTCGAAACCCAAGAAAGGAATAATAATAATAATGAGAATAGTGAGAATATAGACCTTAAATAAGCTGAATAGCTGTAGAATAATAAATCATACCAAGATGAAGGATACACAAAATTCGTTATCGTCTAGCTTTATTACTATTTAATCTCTTGTCATTAAACTCTTTATTTTTCTGGATAATTAGTAATTTGTAGTTGCTTTACTTCAAAGGTGAGATGTTCATTACTGCCACTGCACCTATCTTTGAACTCTGTGTTAACAAACAGATGTTACAATTTAAGTGATTAAGTCTTCTTTGTATCTGTTTTTGGTAATGATAACTTGTTGAATTCCTGTAAAAGTACTTAGAGTGTAAATCAAAAGTTTTCAATTTGAAATGTTAGAAATAAGCATAATATCATTTGTTTTGCTCATTAGAGTTGTAAACCATAGATGTGTTTGAAACTTCATACTGTTTTACTTTAATTTACCGTCGAGTATCTAAATTGCATAGTGAGTATAAAAAACAACTTGTTACAATCAATAAGAAATTTAGAATGAACTTCAGCTGGTTTCAAACTTTTACTGTTGGAGGTTCAGATGAAAAACGTATTCCAGTTACATTCCATAGGGAACAGTTTAGATTAAGTGCAACTGTCATAGATGTAGAAAATAAAAGACAATTCAGAGAAGAAAATTTTCTTTATCGACAAAATCATCTTCACAGGCTGTACAGTCGTATTTATATTTACCAAAAATGTATAGCAGTCTACTACTGAGTAATAGTGGGGGTGGTGACATGATTGATACAATTACTCAGAAGTGGTTTTAGAAGTAAAAACAAAAGCTTTAAATAAAGTAGTATTCAACGGTACATGCATGTATTTAATTAGATTTTCTCAGTGAATACTTGAAAAGAAAATAAGTTCAGTCGAACTGAAGATTAGACACTATTTACGTTTTTACGATTTAAAACGGCTGTTATGTTGTCTCCGTTTTATTGAATGCTAACTGTGGTAGACCTGACTATACAGAAAACGCATAAAACTTTTTAAACTTATAGATGGAAGCTTAATGCTTTATGACACTATTAAAGGGTTTGATACACTCCGACGGCGGAAGTGACTTCTCTAACTTACAGAAAAAGACGTGGTTTCTTTTATTGCTGTTTAAATACTACAAGACTGGACAAAGCAGTCAACCTAATCATGCAGTCGAAAAAACGAAGCTACTGATAAAAGTGACAATATCACCAACTCAAATTATATCTATCTCACTGTAAATCTATATGATCTGAAATCTGATGGCTCCTGCTGCTGCTGCTGGATTCAACATAGAACTTGGCACCGAAGTGCAGCAGTTCGAGTTGCCACGTTCCGAATAGCACACAAAGGTAGACAAGAAAATGAGAGAAGAGAATCAATAGAATTTAGATAAGTATAAGAGTGAAACAAAATGAGTAATGGTAGAAAGAAATATGAAAGATTAAAGAGACTGAATACATCTGCGCCATTGACAACGATTTTGAGCCATGTCACCTATTGTCTCCAGCCATTGATTCTTAGAGTCCCGAGGGCCCCAACCCGGAAGTCTGCATCTCCCTACCTGACTCAGTTTAACTGTCAAAGATTTCATGGATTGATGCCATGTTTTTGTTTGGCCATCAATTACTCTTTTCCAACCTGCACCTATATCAGCTAGTAATGCCCGTCGGGGGAGACGATGGTTAGGCATGCGCAGCACGTGGCCTAACCATCTCAATCTATGTAACTTCATAGCCTCTTCGAGTGATTTTCCCTCTTTGCCCAACACTTTACGCCTAACGTCAACATCACTTACCTTATTATACCACCTGACGCGAGAAAGAGATCGTAAACATCTGTGGTCAAAAACAGACAATCTCTTCATGTCTTCCGCTCTCAGTGGCCACGTCTCACCGCCATAGAGAAGGACGGAGCGAACTGCTGAGCAGTATACACGTCCCTTGGTTGACAGCCGGATGTCACGCCTACGCCAGAGACGGTGTAAGTTAGCGAAAGCAGCCCGAGCTTTCTGGATCCGTGCTGTGATTTCGTCACCAATCAATCAATCCGTTGGTGCTGATACAACTTCCCAAATAGGTGAAGTGGTCAACATGTTCTATCAATTCACTCCCTATCACTAAGCCAGGAGTTGACGTAGTCCAGTCCTGTAGCAGCATCTTACATTTCACAGGGGCGAATCGCATGCCAAACATACAAAGATTGCTGCTCAAGGTGTTCAGAAGACTCTGCATTTTGTCAGCGTCCTCCCCTAACAGGACTGTGTCGTCTGCGTATTCTAAGTCTATAAGACTATTCCCTGGTAACAAGTCGATTCCTAAGTCGTTAAGTTCAGTTAAGGATACTTCCATTAGCATATCTATGATGAAGTTAAACAGAAAAGGGGAAAGTGGACATCCTTGACGGACACCACTGGTTGTTATCAATTCTGATGACAATTCCCCATAAGCCCTTACACAGCTACGTGAGTTTGAGTAGAGTGCCTTGATTAGTGCAATGTACTTTCTTGGCACTCCCTTCATAGTCAAACATTGCCATAGAACCTCTCGATCCACGGAGTAAATCTGATGGCACTACTGTCTTACCTCTGTTATTCTACCCTGTCACAGTTAGTATTGATTTTAAGTAGGAATTATTTTTAAATTCACAAAAACAACCTTTTTCATAAACAGAACACTGCAAAAGATTTTTACAGGTACATTTTGTACATTATGATTTTCAGTTTGTTAATAATTTACCACAGCTTTCAATTACCTGCCCCACTGTAATATTCTCTATACCTAAGCTTCCAATAATTATGAAGAGAACTTTTTAATATGATCGATTTTATACTTTTCAGGTGAAACACTTGATTTAAGTGTGTCGATTTTATGTGTGGAAAACAATGAGCTTACCGTGAGTAGTGGTAGTAGAATAATTACTCATTTTACTGAAATCACCTTTATATAGTTATAAGATAATCCATATAACCAAATAGCCGTTACTGTGATAAGATTAATCAGATTGTTTTTAAGGATTTCAACAGACTTTTCCATTATGCTACAGGATAACTACAGGATGATAAACAGCATAGTTTAATAGCCCGGCTGTTAATACTGAAAAACACGGAAAGGTCACTCAAAAACCACTTGGATTTCTACAAAGTTATCAATGAGCCACACCTACTGTGTGAGAGCCACCGAAACTAAATGATTGCCCTACATCTCGGAAGGTTCAGCTGGGTTCGGACTCTTGACCCATTGATTGGAGGTCGAGCACCTAGACCAGTGACCCAGCATCTATAGTGACAATATTAAATTTCTGACCAAAGATACCCTCTAGGTGTGAAATATGGCTACTAGACTGAATGAAGTATTTTTAAAGATGACTGCTGATTGAGAGGTCTTCCGCAACCCACATTATTGCTTCTTAACACTATTATTATTATTATTATTATTTCCTTTAGTTCCTAGAGGAACATAGGGCTTCAGCCATGCGTCTCCATTGCGTTCGGTTCTCTGCTAGAGTTTTCACCTGGCTCCAAGTCTGCCCACACGCTTTCATCTCCTCTTCACATGATCTCCTCCAGGTCACCCTTGGACGACCAACTCGTCGCTTCCCTTTCGGGTTCCACTCGAGGGCTTGTCTAGTGATGTCACTTGCTGGTTTCCTAAGAGTGTGTCCAATCCATCTCCATTTCTTCCTGCCTATTTGTTTCACGATCGGTTCCTGGTTGGTTCGCTCCCAGAGATCTTTGTTGCTGATCCTCTCCGGCCATTTGATCTTGAGTATTGAGCGAAGGCATTTGTTAATGAAGGTCTGTAGCTTGTTTGAGGTGCTCTTTGTGACACGCCAAGTCTCTGATCCGTATAGTAGTACTGAAATCACATTGGAGTTGAAAATACGGATCTTATTTTTGACGCTGAATGCTGTTGACCTCCACATAGACTTGAGAGAAATGAAAACTTGTCTTGCTTTTCCGATTCTGGCTTTGATATCCTCGTCAGTTCCTCCTGTAGTTGAGACGATGCTTCCCAGGTAGGTGAAAGAAGTTGTTTCCTTCAGGTTCCTCCCATTTATGCTGATTGTTGTCGGTTGTTGCTGTTGATGTTGGCCAGGAATCTTCATTACCTCTGTTTTGTCTATGTTCACTTGAAGTCCTATCTTTGCTGCTT